ATCAGTCTGTTCTATGCTTCTATGTCTCTGGATCTATCTCGTTCATCAGTTTATTTTGCTAATTAGTTTCCACATATGAGTGAGATTATGTGATACTTGTCCCCATGTCTCTGGATCTATTTCATTCATCAGTTTATTTTGCTAATTAGTTTCCAAATATGAGTGAGATCATGTGATACTTGTCCTTCTCTGACTGGTTTATTTTGTTTAGCATAATACTCTCCAGGTCTCTGGTTGCCATTTTCTTTAATAAAATGTTCTTTTAAAATAATAATTTTTGAGCACTTACACTAGGAACAGATTTTTGGTAATTTCATATGTTTTTTTATTTCAGTCTCTCCATCCTACAGGCATTATTATCTTCATTTTACAGATAAAGAAATGTAGACTCAGTGATGAAACAATTTGGCCAAGGCCAAATTGCCCAATTATTCTCACGCAAGTAGGTCTCACTGCAATGAGTAGAGACCAAGGTATGGATCCTAAGAAGTACACCAGGATAAACACTATATCCAAATTAACAGAAATTGAAAGAGCTGGTGAACCTGCATCCACACAGATAAACACAAAACAAAATACAAACCCAAGAACACTTAACTCTGGAAAAAACCCTTTCCCATCCAAGTCAAAATCATCATCAGAAGTAAGGATGTTTTGTGATTTTACTACTAATGAAACCTCTTACTCACTCCGAGCACCAGAAGTTTCCTTTCCCAAGTCATCACTGTCATATGCCTGAGCAAGCATATGCCACCCACGCAACAGACATGGTCTGGGATGACTGTGCAAACCCATACTCCCCAGGCTCCCTCCATTAAGAAGGGAAAAGGCTCTCGGAAACAGCACATGCTTTTCTTGTGATATTAAACAGTTTTTATCTGTTGTAAAATCCTGTGCTCTGCTGTGCTTTACTGACTAAAATAGTTAGAGATAGGCATTTCTGCTATTTCACCATTCCCAAGAACACCTGATTCAGTAACTGTGTTTAACCAAACTAGAACATAGATTATGCCATACTTTAAAAGTTAATATACCTGCATAGATTTGTTTATTATTTCTAATGCATAGAAATGGGAAAGAAAAATATTAAAGGTTTTCTGCCCTTTCATTCATGTTTGGGGGAGAGAAAATAAAGCAGTCAAGAGTTAGAATTCTAAGGTAAAGTAACCATTAAATTAGAACAAAACTGTAGCATAAAGTATTTGATTATGCTCTTATAAGGTGACCATATAGCTGTGAAAGACAATAATGTAGAACACTTTTTTAAATGTGTTTCTCTCCAGGACTTGGGGCCTCTGTGCTAGTATTGAACTAATTAGAAGTCATTCTTACTGTATTGCTTATTACAGTCTTCACATCCTTATCTGTCACCTTTATTGTTATTTAATTTTTAATGAACATATTACTTTAAAAAACAACACAGACTACATTAAAATACATTTCAACACATTGAAATCTGTGGAAATATCTTGATATTTTACATAAGGAAAACCACACGATAGAATTATTTCACTCTTCATTTGGTGCTACAAGCTTTCAAACTTCAAAACTATGTAAATTATAATAAAAAATACAGATCTGGACCATTATGGACTAAGTAATAGCAGGAAAATATGAGGGATATGAGTTTTACTTCTTGTTCTGCTTCTTCTTTATGGAATCATTTTAGGTAATCAAACGAATTTACACAGTGCAGTTCTGCCCTTTACAAAACACAGACTACCATTCTCACTTAACAATTAAGGAATAACTTGTGAAAGGTATTCAAAACATTACAAACTGAGGTTTTAAAACCGTAAAAAATGAGGCAGTACACCTCTCCTAAAGATTCAAGGTTTTACTTAAAAATGAATAGAACTTTGTGGCTGAGATCTTAATCACACAAAGACCCAGAAATTCAAACTACATTGCCAAAACAATTTTTATTTAGTTACACTGAGCACATGACTTTTTCTAGTCACCAGTGTGGTAAAAGCCAATACAGTGCAGAGAACTTTAAATTTCTGGCTCCAGAAAGCTAAAAATATCAGCCTTAGCATTTTATTAGTGAATATTTGTACTGCATTTTCTAAAACAGCATATTATAGGTGTAGGGTAACATAAAAGTATTATTTCCCAGTTAAAGCTGTGGAAATAAATTGTCTACTTTTTTCAGAGTTCCTGAAAATAAGATGAATTGTAATTTAGATAGGCTAACTATATTTCTGCCTCTAATGTAGTGGTTTTCACATAGTGATGTGGGAATTAGTAGAAATCTATGATAGCCAGAATATCCATGAACTTTGTAACTTTGGGGAAAGTGGGCCTAATTTATCATTTTATTTTTCCTATATAAGTAAAAAGCAGTATCCTGTAGGAATGAATAACTGAAAGCATCACCGATTTTTCTCAAATTCTGTTATTTTTTAAATAGCAAATAGGAATTTCAATTGGAATGAGACACATGATCTTGTTCTCTACAAAAGCTACTTGAAGATTACTGCATTAATTTAATGATAAATATTGGAAGTAAAGGAAATGTTTTGTTTTCTGCCTTAGATGATGATAAGCCTCCCAACTAGTGTTTTTCATTCATATGGCACTTGAGTAAAAGATCTATCACATATATTAGAGAATTTTAAATCATGTTTGTTCCTTCTGAGCCAGAATTTTCCCAGGGAAAAACACTGTTTTGCAAACATCTGAAATTCTAAGATAAAAATTATTTATATTAACGAACAACAACTACAAACTTAAACATGGGCAAATCTCAAACATATTACTGAGTAAATAAAAGAAGTTATAAAGTAATATAGACATTATGATTTCATCTATGTACAATACAAAAAAGTCAAAACAAATATTATTATTACATACATGGTAAAATGTAAAGAAAAACAGGAATTAATTATCCCCCAAAGAGAATGATTGTCTCATCAGATAATGGCTACCTTTAGACCAAAGGTTGAGGGTATAATTGGAGAAGAACTGTCAATAGTTTATTTTTTAATTTACACAGATATTCACTGTATAATCATTCTTTGAAATGTATGAATATCATACACTCCGCAATATGTTATTTATATTAATATAAAAAACTTAAAATAATAAATACCAAGAAAAACAAAAAGTACAATTAACACCTATTTTTTAAACAGTGTCAACAAGTGATCCTGGTATCACAGCATATATTTCATGTTGTAACACTTTAATTTATGAAAGTGATTTACATTTTGAAAGACATTCATTTAGTAGAAGACAACACCTAGTTAGGTGTTCAGTAAACAAAGTAATGGTTGGAAACCCAGTTTCAGTAGAGACAAAAATAGAAAGAAAAAAAAAAACACCAACATTTTTAGAGTAAGAAAATTGACCTTTTGGCTCTTCCATTTATTACATCTATAATCTTGCATAGGTTACTTTCTGAACCTCAGTTGCTTTATCTACACATGTAGAAATTTAGTATCTGATCAAAGTGGTCATTCAAATTTGTAAGAGGAAAGAAGAATGATTAAATCATTGATAGGAGATATTAGGGGGAACTAGCTAACCATTTGGAAAAATAAGATAAAATAAAACCAAATTTCTGTCTCATTTGTCACATAAAAATATAACAAATAAATCAAAGATTTCAATATAAGTAAAT